GTAGGGAATGTCAGCAGGAATGTCCTCTGCGAAGAGCTGTGGTCGGTGAAGGGTGGGAAGGGGAGCTGCGGGTCGCATTTTCCGACCTCCAGCACTTAGCAGTAAACCTGTCACGTACTGTGAGGGTGCTGAGGCGCTGGCGCACGGTGCCCAGAGAAGCTGTGGCTGCCCCATCCCTGGCAGTGTTCAAGGCCAGGTTGGACACCGAGGCTTAGAGCGACCTGCTCTAGTGGAAGGTGACCCTGCCCGTGGCAGGGGTTGGAACTGGATGAGCTTTAAGGTCCCTTCCAACCCAAACCGCTCTGTGATTTTCTGAGGTCACCATATGAGTAGTTACATGGTTTCATGAATGATACACTACATTATCTCTACCTATTCAGTGTTCTGGTGAAGGGGTAAATAGCTGGAGTGTTTTCGTAAGTAGCTGGAGATACTACACCAAATGAAACTTAAAGTTACAGCCAGTCAGTGGGAGACAAAACTGCAGTTGATACTCTACTGCTGTTTAATAAATGCCTTTCATTTGTGAAAGGCGTTTTGCCTTGTTTTATTTATTGCTGCTGAAAAGCTATTTTCAGAGCTACCAGGTCCATAAATACCAACAACCAACAGGTATAATTGCCACGCATTTAAAATGGCTTGTGCACATGGGAGGCAGTGGTATCCTTAATGTCAGCTACACCTTGAGAAATGGCCAAACCGCGGGCAAAAATATTCTCATGTTTTAACGGATTGTAACCAGGACAGTAGCTTGCTGAAACGTGTTCTCTGCATTATAGTAATGAGCTCTGTATGTCAGGTGCTGCTGTAAATCTGTCTTCCGTTTGGTGAATTGTTATTTCAGAGCCAAACTAATTTTAGAATATTTCCAGCAACAGCATTTACTGATCACATCGCAATCTTGAGAATAAGTAAAAGCCCTGAGAGTTAAAAATGTGATTGTCACAGTTAGCCTTAGACTTTCACAGCCAAAAGCTATTAGAGCCACGGAAAATTGTGTAGCTTGTCCTGAAAGAATCCAAGTAATTTCTTTCAATATATATATACAATTTATATATTTTCAATGTAACTTTCATTTCTACAGGAATGCCAGGTGGGTTTGAGTGGTAGAAAACACTGCAGTTCTTTTTGAAGATATCACCCACAGTTGCAGCTGATGATGTCATTGCTGGATTTTGTTTTTATTTTTTTGGGTTTGTGTGTACATCATCAGTGAGTCACAAGCCTCGAGAATGCGCATTAGTGCAAGTATCAAAAAAGCAGCTTTAAGTTAATGATAAGTAGCTTTTCACTAGTAATTCAGAGGCAGTTGGAGTTTCTAAGAAACTATAATCCAGATAATCTTAGTGTAATATAATCTCAATTCTAAAAAATTCTATTATAACAATATCTTAGGGAAGTAACAGCTAATTCAACAAGACATATGATCACGTTAGTGTTGTGTGGTGAACAGTGATTAAGGTTGTCCAAGAAAAGATTCAAAAGCTTTTAGATAGTCTTTTTCTTAAATTGTTGTTAATCGTGGTTTGTTGTTTTTTTTTAGTTGTTTCAAACAGCACATAAGAGCATCTGACATACCTACTCTGTTTCATGTTAAAATGTTACCAGATGTCCTTGATTCATCTTGGCAGTCCCCATGTGCTTTTCATCATTTGTCTAATTGCAAAGGACACTAATTAAAATGAAATAGAGTAGAACTTTATACTCTGGATACTTTGTCAAGTTTTGGCACCGTGGTCAAGTTAGTATTGTTTTGCTTCAATATTAAATAAAGAGCTTATGGCTGTAAGCCATGCTGACATTTGTTTCTGGGAGGGAAAGGTGAAAAACTGTTCTTATTAACCTGCAGTGTAGAACATACGGTGGCTGTGGGTGGTATGGCTAACTTAGGCAGCCAGGAACCTGCTATCGCTTCATGAAGTGGAGACAGTGGGGTGGGCAATTACCACAGGAGGTAACCACGCTGTTAGTTACTGCTGTCCAGAAAAGGAAGCTCTAAATACAACGTACTATCAACTAAATCACTAATCTATGACAGGTGTGTTTGGTGCTATTATGAAATGGTTTTAGTATTTAATAACTCAGGAAGTTAAATTCAGAATGCCTCAGTGCACTCCGAATTGCTGGGTACAGTATGAATGCTTTCTATGAGATGAAGTTATGTGCATGGAATAAACTCACAATTCATAAAATTTTGACTCTGAAAATTACTGGATTGCAGTGTATTGTCAAATGAAGGACCTGAGTTGAGAAGGAAACACAGGTGTTTGCATCCTGTGTGCCTCCATCATGTTGCATTTTATTTTTTAAAGAAGGTTTTACAGGGCTGTTTCAAATGAAACCTGTTTTATTTTAGCCTTAAAATGGTGCCTTCCTCTTTTTCATTTTGCTGGTGAGAAATAAGCAGGATTTGAGCAGGCCTTGGGGAGGTGACCTGAATTGTATGGAGTGCAAAAGAAGTGCTTTTTAATTTTTTGTAACCTTTGGAAGTGGTTCCTGTAGGCTGACAAGTAGAAAACGTGTAGGGGCATTAAGAATGATTTGACAATACTTAAAATACCTATGATATACACTCTAACACCAGACAAAAAAAATGTAATGGGAAAACCCAATGGCAAATAAATTGCCTTTCTAAAGTGATCTCTTTAAAAAAGTAGGGCTTTTGCAATAAACCAGAAGTAGTTTTAGAATCCATATTCTGTTTTCCTGGTCAGATGAAACCACCAGATAAGCAAGTATTTCCAAGCCTTTGGCCGTTCTCCCTTTGAAGGCACATCTACTGTTGAATGTAGAATTGTAAATGAGATAATACACAAAATGATGCTTGCAGGATATTCTTGAAAGAGAATACACTTCTTTATATATATTCATATGATCGATATTGGTCACCTTGTGAATGTGACTGTATAGGCCTGTTCTTTTTATGTCTCCTCAAATTCAATGAGACAATTATTGGTCAATTCACTAAAATAATTTCACTTGTTTAAGGGTAAAGACAGCAAGAATTTGAAAGGAATTTCTTAGGTGCAGTCTTTGTTCAGCTGCAGTTTTAAAAAGCACAGTAACTTCTGTTACCACAGTTTTACTGGCTCCTTTACCGTAAGTGCTGTATTAGGATGTTCTTAAATACCAAAGTCCTTCTCTCTATTTTTTTACTCTCACTCTTTGTTTGTTTTGGATTTTTTAAAGTTTTTAAGGTCAGATCAGCTTTTCCAGTTTAATAATCAAAGATTCTTCTGAAATATCCAAATCCATTGCAAAACGCAGGATTTCAGTCCTGTATGCCACTTCCCAGCTGTCATGGAAATTTCCAGTCCCATTCCAAAGGAAAATTCCATTTTCAGCCTTCCATTCAGACCTCTGGTTAGGAAAGGTGGTTCTTTGAATAGCAATAGTGAGAAACAGGATATTAATCCATGTCTATTTCGTTAGATTTGGAAATCTGTTAAAGAAAAGCATGTGTAAGAAAGAGCTAATGAAAAGCTGAGCCCTTCAAAAGGACTAAACAGGTCTGGAACACTGTCAAAGCAGATACAGCACAACATGCCTTGTTTCTTATTAAGAAAAACAAAGTTTGTTACATGATAAACCTTTGATTGACTGACCAAACTGGGCTTGTAGATTAGTGCCCATGGGATTGCTGCAGCAAAACACAGCTGACCACATAACACTTAGTAATGTGGTCTGGATGTTGTCAAATCATGAGATCATCCTGCAGGCAGGAGCACACCAGAGTCCAGTATCTTCTCATTAAGGCTGATCCACTTCAGCAATCAGTCACTCTTCACTGGCATAATTTCCTTTTACTGCTAAACAGAGATGAGGGGCACAGACCTCCTGGATATCAGCAAACAACAGAAGAGCTTGCTGGAAGTGCTACTGTGCCAGGGCCTTCCTCTGTACTTTCCACTTTTGCAATGCATTTCGTCTGAGGCTGAAGTCCCACATACCATACTGTCTGTAACACTACTGGAATTCCTGAGCCTGCAGATCACTTCTGCTCACAGGAGGCAATACAAAAGGATGTACTGCTTCAATCCCATTTATATTCTGTTCTAGGGGTGTAACAGTGAGTGCATATTCTGCACTTTTGGGGTGGAAGGTGAGGTTCATCCTACAATGAGAGCAAAATTTAAGGCAGGTGTCTAGTGGGGTTGAAAATGTATTGGCTCTTCCACGGACTTACTTTAAATTACTTGTTCATCATTTCACTGCAGATTAGATCCCTGATTCTGTGATACTCTGCTCCAGTCACAAGACCTTGAATTTTACAGGCATGTACTTAGAAATATCTTTACAATTATTTAAAAAAAAACAGTCACAAGAGTGCCAGAAAGCAACCACTGCTGTGTCTATTATTTTTGTAATATATGTGCTATAAGAGAACAGATAAAATAGAATGGTAGGATTCATAGACTTTAAAATATGTATTCAATGGGTGGACAGTCTCAAATTCTATGATTTAGCCACAAAAATTTTTGCTAATTGTAAAAAAAAAAAAAAAAGACTTTTAAAGAGACACATTGGTGTGATGTATTCCTTAGTATTTACATCTAATGTGTAGTAAGTTAATACAGCAAAAACGGTGTCACAAATTATGTTACAGTCTCATATTGACATGCTAGACTTCAGAGGCATGATTTTCATGCTGAGGAGACTTGTTCTTGAGTCCAAAACACTGTATTTTATCAACATCTATAATACAAAAAGAGTCACTAATGTAGTTGTAACTGTGCTGCTAAAATTGCAGTGGTTCACACTAAATAGAGTATTAGAAGTACACGTGTCATAAATTTCAAACTCCAGAATAATGCAGTGTGAGATACCAAACTGAGCAAGTATTCAAACAGCATGTTTGAGAAAAGCATCCAGATGCAATTAGAACCATTTATTGAGGTCTGTAGAGATTCCTTTTTGCTTTCCCATATACATCACTAGATGTTTTGTGTTTTAAATATTCCCCCTTATTGTTTGAAACTGAAATGTGATTTATTTTTTATTTTTTTTAGTATTGTGATGCTTCTCTGGCTTTATTTAAATCAATGACAAGTAATTCTTGTAATGAACAATATTAGCTATAATTTTTGAAGAATCAATTAGTAAAATACATACTTTTCTGTGAATCCTTTCAGTGTATAATCCAACATTTTTACTGGTTGTGCAGTGATTGAACTATTGCTTTTAATACCATTTATTATTTCTACAGGTATAGTTAAAACTGTGTAAAGCTTAGACTTCAATAAATAGTGGATATTGCATGAATATTTCTTGCTTGTAGGAAGCAAGACAGTATCTTACAATCTAACAGTGGGTGCATTTATGGGTAAAATTCAGTACTGGGAAGGGGGCCAGTTCCCAGTGATTTCATTCTTCAGTATAGAACATTAATGCAGGATCTTGCAGTAGCCAAGGGAAGAAGCCAACTCTCCTGACCCTAATCATCCAAAATGACACTATGGCTGGAAGCCACAAGACATTGAGAACACAGCCTGGTGAGCCAGGGAGAGGGGAAGCCAAGGAGCAGGTAGCAGCTGGCACTGGTTCCTCAAGTCGAGAGGAGGACTGGTGCGGAGGAGGCCTGGGCAGGCTGCTTGGCGGCCCTAAGGCACTGCCAGCTCCATCAGCGGGTGCCACATTTCCCTGCAGCCAGCCTCCTGTGTGTATACTCTTAGCCAGGGCCCTTGCGTATCAGCTGGTTTGGGAATTGCAGGTTAACTTCCCTGGTTCTCATCCCATAAAAAGTATTATTTCCCCTATGTATTCTGTTGTAATATTTATGTTACTGCAGTGTAAGTGCTTTATTTATTCCATTTCCCTCATAGTACTCTGTCTTAGGACAAGAAAGCATCAAACCCTATTTCAAAACTTCATCAAATGTATTTCATATAGAATTAGCATGTGTTAAAACAGTATAATACAGTGTAGTGTGCGTTTCTAAATAATTATGATCCCCAGGATGGTAAAGACAATCTGAGAAGCTGGAACACAATGATTTCTCTTTCCAACTTACATATCTTCTTTTGTTCAGAAAAAGGATGGAGTTAAAAAGGCAGGCAGTAAGGATTTCACCTCTGTTGTTAATCCATGAAATACCTTAGAGTAATGATTCTAAGTTTAGTGCCCCGAAATAACTAAATTCAGTAGAAAAATAAATGTTATGTTTTAAATGTACTTTTCTCAGCACTGTATTCAACATCCAGGTTAGCAGCTGAATTGCCTTCCACATTAGCCAACCAGTCTATAATTGAGTTCACTACAAGACTGATTTCAGAACTTGACCTTGGCTACATCTTCTTACCTTATGTTAAGCTATTTCTTCTCCATGTTTTCTTAAATTTATTCTAGTTGGAAGCTCTTTGGTTTCTCAGTGTTTCATAATGGAAAGGGGCAGAACACATAAAACCAGGAAGAAATAAATTGTTATTTTCCCTGTCCAAACTGAAGAGTTTCAAAGCATGGTCTGGGCTTGAGAAGCAGGATACTGTGACCGCAGTATTTTCCTGTTGGCGAGCCCTGTGGTAGATGCTGTGTTGTTCTGGTGACAAAGCAGGATCTTACACCACAAGTAAATGTCATCCATACAAAATGGAATCATTCTAAACTCAGCATGATAGTTAAAGCTTTTGGCTTTCAGAAAACTGGGACTTAAGCAGCAAATCAAACAACCTGTTTTATTTTTTACTCAGTTCTGTGACATCTAGTCAGAATCTTACTTTCTGTGCAGTCATAGAATTCTCTCATTCCACTCACTGTTGTGCACTGATGCTGTGAAATGTAAGAGTTCCAGGCACACGTAAGAAAATACCAACTTGCCATAGAAGATTTATTGTTGAGGCAACGGTGAAATTCTTTCTTTATACTCATTTCTGAGCCTGGAACAGCTTCCTTGTCTCCAGCAGATGAGAACAAAATCTGGCTCATTTAATCTGATTTTGTCTCAACCAACAGATCTTTCTCTCTAGTTCTGGTCTGCAGAGCTGATTTTTATTATAACTTCTATACAAAAAAAAAATAAATCTCAGCATAGAGAGCCTCTGGTGTCTCCTCTGGATGTTTTGTAACTCCCACTGTTCACCAGTAACTATACTGTTTTTTTAGTTTGATAATGATGCCTGGAATACTGGAAGATGTAACATTCACTCAGCCAAAACGATTTATCTTGGTATAACAGGATCAGCATCTCAGCTGGGACTTCTGGATGCTACTCTACTACAAACAAAATAAGAGAACAACAGTCAGCTGAAATTAATAGTATATTGGAGGCATGCCCTTACTCTCCTCAGACATGGAAGAACGTGTTGAGGATATTTAATCAGAGCACAGTAAATGGAGAGAAATGGATTTTTCCATAAATATCAAACACAGTGGAGAGCAGCTATCACTAGTAACCAGCAGTGCTTCTTAAAATCCTGCTACAACATTCTTAATGGATGGTTTTCCTTGTGGCTACTTAGGCATGTGTACTGTGCTAGCTCCCCCTTCTTGCACTGCAATACGTAGGAAGCTATTATTCCCAAATGGAGCGTTTGCTGACATCACATGCGGTAGGATCCTTTTGTTTGCCTGTGTCTCCTGCATTGAAATGTTTGTCTGAGTCACAAATCCCACTGCCTTTCTTCCTCTGTGTCATGCTTGCTTGAGAGCTTCTCCCTGACTCACAGGTTTGAAATTTTGACACAGCCTGGGTTGCTGCATGGCAGCTGAATACTTTTCCTTTTAATACTTTATTATGTAATTTATATCTAAACACTATAATGATCCAGAAATCACTGCCACTTTTTTTTTTTTTTTTGCAGCTTTTTGAATAGACAGGTTTCGTGACTCAGATTCAGCACTGAATTTTGTTTCAAAGCAAAGGCAGCTTAGTGTTACTAAATTATAAATTAAAGATAGTGACTCCCACAACTTGAGTTCTCCATTTAGCTTGCTGGCTGAGTTTCCTCAGATATAACAGTATCGAGCACTGTGCCAGAAAGGGGTCATATGTGTGCATGTGTACAGACAAACACCTCTCATAATTGAAGTAATTACTATTTTGCATTGCAGTACCTCTTTCCCTCTAATAATCTGATCGATTTGTTTTCTTTTACTAGAAAGGACAAAACCATGCTGTATTTTCAGTGTACATTCATTCCTTTATTTGGTTTAGATTTGGGAGCTGCTAATCTATTGCTGGTGTCTAAGCAGCCTGGGTTTCCTCTTTATTAAAGCCATGAACAAAACAGATCCTGATTACAGCAGCTCACTGTGAATGCTTTGGTAAAGAATGAACATGGAATTTAAGGGCTATGCAGCAGTTTGGTTTGAACTTGATGATAAAATATTCTTACTATGATAGAAGCCAAAAATTACCATGCTGGATTAAATCTTTTGTCCTTCAGATCTAGGTTTTCGTCTCTATTGTTGCCACTAAAAGATAAATGAGAAGTTCAAAACAGTGCTTTGATTGTCCTTGATCAAGGACTTTGCGGCAGGTAAGGGCTAATGCCCCCATCTGGTACAGCTTTTAAGCATGTATTTATCTTCAAGCATCCATCAGCAGCTCCACTGCCTTTTGCCCTGGTCTGAGGCATGTGAACAGATTGCTACATGAAACCTTGTTAAAATTCAGATACACATAAAACCAGGTGAGTAGTCAAGACCTATGTCATTAAATATACTCTACTACATGCTCACATTTCATTGCTCTTTTACCCAGAGTAAAAATAACTTATATCCTCCATCTCTCCCCCCCCCCCAAAGAAAAAAGAACTGAAGCCTCTTGTTATAGAAAACATAGAATTTTTATTATAAAATTATGCCATACACAAAGGAATTTTCTGCCACACAAATGTTAAAATAACATCCAGAGCAGGAATTTAAGTTAGAGTCTCAGGCTACCTTTGGTTGCACGTTGACTATGCAACTGTTCTGTAGCACACATTTTTTAACATTCAACTTTTGAATCTCAATTACTTTTCCTCTTCTCTCCGTGGCCGTTTGCGAGGGTTCATTTCAGCACCTTCTGCATTTTGAGTGACAGCTGGAGGCTGCACGTCTCGGAAGCCATGAGACTGTGAGATATAAGCAAAATCATGTGATAACACTTCTATGGACATAAACCATGAGTAACCAGTTCCCAGAAGATCAGAATAAGGTATGATGTTGTCTTTTATTTTAGATGAGTGGCCACAGACTGTTTTTAGACCAGGCTAAGTTCAGAACAGCAAGTCTTTTAACACATGCCAACTAATAACTGAGTCTCATCATTTTATTATTTTATTTTCACCAACCAGGCTATTATTTTCATTTTATCACTGATAACCCCTATGGCTGTGAAGCACTGCTTCTTTGTAAATTAAGTTGCCTATTTAAATAAATTAAAAGCCAAATCCTTCAGCCCTTATTCAAGCTTCCACAGAAGCAAGGAGATGACTGGATTAATTGCCTCAGTCATTTTCAGAAACAGAACTGTGGATTTCTAAAACCTAGGATATTTTTCTTTCATGTATCTACTTAATGAACTGAAAACATCAATGAGACATTGTAAGAGAACAGCATATTTGAAACAGGTTCTAGACTGCAAAAACTGTCCCAGCATAGTAATTTATGGGACACAGTGGGATGAGAACCTTTAACTGCCAAAAACTAAATGTGGAAGTGAAAATGAGATGCTGCTACTCATGAAAGAGCTTAAAGTGATCTATCTGGCTTAGTACCATTTGTATTTTCTGTTACTGTACCTCACAATTTAATGATTTTTAAAGATTTTAAAATATCTGGAAAAGCAGCTAGTTAATCATGTCATCAATGCAGATGGAAATACTGAGATGGGATGTGAAGCCTTCAACTGTCCATCTTCCCATCTCCTAGCAAATGCTGTGCAGGGAGCACTGCTGACAGCACAATGACGACTCTCACTGCAGTGCAGAATTAGAGAGGAAAAGGGGTTAATCTGAAAAAGAAACTGCTTTGGGGATCCTAAATACTCAGGTAGAGACAATGTGGGGATGATAGAATTTCATCTAAAGCTGACATTTTGTGTTGGTGCAGTGTGAAAAAGCAGGTAGAGTTACTATCGGACGTGTGACTTTCCTAAAACACCAGTGTGTCCCACACTGAGATCAATCCAAAACAACACAAGAACCCAAGCAAAATGTTTCGCTTAAGTGTCCTACCTCTGTATTTCTATTTCCAAATGCCTCACCTCACGCAGCCTGCTAATTTTTCAAAGGAACAAACAGCAAGAGGTGCCACAAGGGCAGTATTTGTGCAGTCCCTCTGCTATTATAAGCAACTCAAGTGTTATTCTGAAAGCGTAATGGGGAATCTTCAAGTTTAATGTTTCACTGCTGCTTGCATCTAATCTCTGCCATTTCCCTTAGGCACAAAGGTGGATCTGTAGCCAAGAATCCACTTAATCCAGCATGCTAGACTCGCAGCAAAAGCATTCCAATACTTAAAGGCCAGAACGTGATAAAGTAGACTGCTTAGTATGGATGTTTTGCTTTTAGTTAAAGGCCTGCTGGACAGAGTGCCTCAAAATTACAAGGTTTTTGTGTACATTTTGAAGTGGTTTATCTGTATATTTGTTAGTGAGTTTCAGATATCAGCCATGCGGGTAATGGAACCAAGGACCTGCAAAGCTCAGTCTACAGTCATTTTGATTTTTTCTTTAATATTTTCTGGCAGCTACAGACTGCGTCAAGGTTGACAAAAGCAGATGTCTTTATTACTTGAGTGGTGTTCTCATTGCTAGTCTGGCAGACCCTCCACAGTTCAGGGAAATACTGCTTATTCCTGCCGAGAACATAGGTCCTAGGGCTCTATCTTTTATAGTGAAATAGTTGGGTCACAGTACCTGGGAAATTTAGGTGGATCAGATGATATAATTACTCCCTTGTGCATAAATCAATTTACATTTCTATACTCTGCATTTAAGAATGAATCCTCAACCAGCCTGCGAAAGAAATACTTCATCTGATCATGTTCCACAGCTTCCACACTTGCTCAGAGTGAACAGCCGGTTTGTCAATGGTACCACAGTATCTAATTTGTCTAAGTCTAAACATCTTTGAGGAAATAGGATTGAGGAATTCGTTATTTTTTTAATTATCTTTTTTTGTATGCTGGTTATACATAGATGTGCTAGATCAGATTTGGAAACATGGAACGCATATTTACATTCTCCAGTTTAGCTGCGGAGATGGGAATGAGAAATGCTAACAGCAGACTGTTACCATCAGGCCTGAATTTGAGGAGGAAAAAACCCCGGGGATAATACACTTTTTACTTCCAGAAACCGTCTGCTGAAGCAGCTCAACCTGATTAAGGGAAAAACACAGGGATAATCTTTTAAAATTTTAACTAATCTTTGATTAGGATACACTCAACTGTATTTCCAAATTGTGTGCATTCACATTGAAGAAGAGAGCATAGCTGTTTTACAATGCATATAAAACTGAAAGGAAAAGGCTATTAAACTAAGATAAAATCCATCTGTTCATCAGCTGGAGAGAAAGGGCTGAGCTCACATCACACAATCCAAACAACTCTGGGATGCGGTCCCCCTTATCCTTCCAGTCCTTACAGAACATTGCAGTATTTGTTCTGTCTAGGTGAATACATTCAGGACTGAAAAAGGAAATACCTATTCAACAGTTTGAAGATCTCATCTTATGGCAGCATTAAAATCTGCAGGAAGTGCTATGGCAACGTGTTTCCATGAGGACACATGGCAAATAGGTATGGCATGTACCTATGTAACTGACATTTTGATATATGAGTCGAGTGGTGAGGCTGGATTTCTTTTTTTTAACCTAAATACAGCTTAGACTGTGTGTATTCTCATTAATATGTATCTAAGCACTCCACAAAAGAAAATAATCACAGGAATCACTAGGGGTGAATAAGAACTCCAGCCACAAGCTGGAAACTCCTCGTATCACAGTGGCAGAATAGAAAAATCCGTATATATTGGCTGGTCATAGGGTTACCAGTAGGATGGAGCTATGAAAGAGAAACACAGCATAGGTTATATCACGCAATGCACTTAAAGCAGAGATGTGGAAATATGTATGGCACAAAGTACTGGTGAAACCTCTGCAACACCATGTGTGATTCAGCTCACCTTTGTCTTAGAAAGAGAAACTCACCTGGAAGATGCAGAGAAGAGCCACTAAGGAAATAATAGTGTACTACCTGACAAGGGAGAACACAGCTTGGCTTGTCCAAGTCTCCCAAAATGAATGCTCAGCAAGTGTGTGGTTGTTCTCTGTAATTTCACTTAGGCCAAAAGTTAAGATCAAGGGCAGATAAAATAAGCAGTATTATCAGAAGAACAAATGGGGACAGGCTGCCTATAAATTTGATCTGGAAATCAAAATGTTTTAATTCTAAGAGAGTAACATGCTCAGTCATTTTTCTAAAGAGAAAAGGTGCAAAATATTAATAAACCTGGAGACATCCCAGTATTACCAGTTACGTTCATGAGGCAACTGAAAAGCAACACTAAAAAAACATCATTCACAGATTTGTCTTTGCGTCTGAAAATTCCTTTACAGCTAGCAATTTCCAGCCCAAAACAAATACTGACTGTGATGTGATACGGTATAGTTGACTCCTTCTGACTCGGTGATTTGTACAATGTTGCCAGCCTGGTTAATGAAAAAACACCAGATAATTATGATTAGTGAATACAATAATAAAAATTCCAAGTAGCCAAATGACTAGACTCAAGTTTTCCCCACAAACATGGGGTATGTCACCAGTGGAATTCTTATGTATGTAATTTTCATATAGGTCATTTAAAGTCTGGATGCCAATTTCCCATCCTTACATGACCTGTCAGCTCAAATACAATGCAGACCTACTAAAACGATTAATCACCATTGTTTCATCACAGGATTTCATCGTATTTTTTGAAAAATATTCATTATGAAGTAATTCCAAACACCACTTTTTTTAAATGCAAACAAACAAACAAGGTTTTGAGCACAATTCTTTCCTATTCTGTTAAGCAATCATTCATTCACTGACATCTCAACGTTGGGAGATACCCTCAAGAATTCATATTCTAGGGAGGGTTCTTTTCCTAGATTTCCCAGGCCTGTCAATATCACCTAGTTGATGGAGAGGGAGCATATGATGTTCTATTTCTAAGCCTGATTCTTGCCAGTGACATACAGCATAACCTTGAGAAAATAGCCTCCTTGTAGTTCTCCTCTAACTCTTTGATTTTGTGCATTTAGACTCTAAGCAATGCATCTTGATTTGTGGTAGCACCTAGCCCACTAAATGCCTGCTTTTAAGAAGACTGCACAGCAGCTCAAAAATAAGGGATTTTTCAACCAGTCCCATGGCTGATGCTAGTCTAAACCATGCCCACCTCCCCAAAACTCACACTCAGGTGAAGCCAGTATGGAAAGTGTTCTGCTATCTGTATCAAGACACCCTGCCAAAGATCCCGTTAATTATTTTCAGGGGTTTTTTACCTCCCTGAGGTGCCATTCTATTAGAGAGCACGTAATTACAGCCTGAGGAACACTGCCACTTCATATTAGCTACACAGGGAATTCCTCAGAACATTTAAGGGGTGGGTTATACTTTACAAAATAGCCCAAATCTGAAGCTGCAGAAGCCACACTTTCACAAGTGCTCAGCTGGAGCTCTGCTGCATGCCTCTGACTCAACAGGATCTTACCTCACAGCAATGAGACCCCTTATAATTAAGTTCTGCCATTTTCAGTAGTAGAGAGAAAGAGAGACACATATCATATTAGGCCAAAGCACAATGAATAAAGAAGAAGGTGGCAAACGGATACTCAAATATCTTTGTGCCTCAATAGCTTAATATAAAAATAACAAAAAGCCCATGATGGATCATCAGGTATAGGTAGCTTGTGTGAAAAATGCAACAGAATGTAGCTATTACTGCTTTTTACAGTTAGGCAGCTTTCACCGGAATTGCTGTGCTTCTGCAAGCCCCGCTTCCCATTAGCTACACGTTTAGAACAGTAAATAAAACGTTTGTCTATCTTTGACTCACTTCCTGAAACACGTTATCTACAACCTTCCTAGCTGTTGGAGAAGAAAAAAAACTCCTTAGTTTTGATACATAAAAGTAACTTTTGTTCACTCTGCAATCATTGTGTTGATGCAACTTCTGTCTTATAAAGGCTGTTAACTGATCAGTGATGTTAATTTAATTCCAACATAAACAGCCTGCTGTAATCATTCTGCATTTCCTTCAAACTTAGACTTTAAAAAACCAAAACTCCACAAGAAAGCGTCATTGCCTGTCTTTCAGGTTTAACAAGCCAAACTATGCACAACATTCCAGCAGCATTTTTGTTCACTGTTTGCAGAAGATTAGGGAATTGAAGCAAGACTTCATAATCCCAAACTGCTGCACTGTCATACTACACACAAGACAAATCTGATTGACCAGGAAAGAGAAGGGAGCTTGCAATACACTGAAGAGGAAAAGCCAGGAAACAGAACTTCATATGGTTTTTTGAAGGGTCATCCTCATTCCTTTGGGCTGCTAAAATCATCCTCCATAACTCAGCTCTGAACTGGGAGTAAATGAAGCTCTTTTACTTCCTGCAGGCCATTGTAACTTGGAACCATCCTGCTACATTCAAAAGCAGAAAGGTTCAAAGGCTGCCACTAAGGCTCAGGGCTCAGCAACCCTTTTCTGTCCTGAGAATTGCTACCTAGGTGGAAAGCTGCCTTTGGCTTCTTTGGCTTTGTACTGACTGGGGCCTAAAAGGCTGAAGCAAAGACATTCTACCCCCTGCTTACAAAATACAGAGAGTAAAAATTTCTACTTAGGCACCAGATCCTCAGTTCTTGTGTCTGAGCAGCTGCCGTTAGGATGTTATAGTTTGAGGAAACATAGCATCTTGTCAGAAAGAAAGCACAGCACTGCAGCAAGCTGACCATGGTGAGGAGGAGCATGACAGTTCAGCCCACGCTGTCTTAGCCTCAACTAGAAAGCTCTTCTTGAGCTGCAGTAGCCTGGGACATGGCAGAAAAAAGCCAGAAGTCAAGTTCAAATCCCTGCTTGGCCACTCAGAGAAGAATTCTCAAATATCACATTGGTCAGTGTTGTTATGTACTTCACTGCTTACATTTTCACTTACCTCTGACTGTTGTCCCAGTGAAAGATTAAACGGACAGTAGCAGCATGTCCCCAGCTTTCTCCTGAGTGACACAAAATACAGGCCATTTTATTTATGCTCCTGTAACAGCACCATCATCAGTAAATTAGACCAGTCTTCCAAAAAACCTCCATAATTAAACATGTATACACCTTTCTTGCAGTAATAAATCACATATTTTGTATCAGTGTGAAAGGATTTCACAACTAGTTTACCGAGTACACTGAGACAAGGAATAACCTCTATACTCACAGTGTTTTATAGAAAGCTTGATACAGTACTTCCGTATTTGTAGAAGGATTTTCTATATAACTAATAAAGGACAGGTACTAGACAAGTCTTGAAAACAGACATAGCATTAAGAAAAGATTTTTCTAATTACTACTGAAACAGCCTAGTTGAGTATGTCGAAATCCTTCTTCAAAATTCTGATACTCTGCCTCTCAGGAATAATTATGAGCAAACATCGCTCCCTTTGGGAAACAAGCTTTGGGAGAAAAGTCAATGGTTATTAAAGTATTAAGGGCCCCTGAAGCAGTCTTCTGCTTCTGACAGCAAAATGCAAAAGAACACAACCAAATGCAAGAGGGAGGGCATGGTGGAAAGAAAGAAGGAAGTTTGGATTGTTATCCTATTTCAGGGGAAATAGTCCTGTTTCAGTTCACACCTGACCATGAGCTCAGTCAATTTATAGACAGTTTTACTAGGTGTTTTCCTCTGTTTATCCCTGGATACAGTCAGTAGTCCAAAGATGGACTGCATTTGAAACCAGTCATTCTGTTTCAGTGCTGCAAGCCTCTCCTCTTCACCTCCATACAGCCCCATTAACTTCTGAATCACTTGTTGGTCTCCATCATGTCACCAGCCCCACATGCCCCATGTGCTCTGGTGTTCATTACAGCACAGAGAAGACAAAAAACAAGATAAAAAATATGATTCAGCTGTAATGAAGACCTAGACCCTGTAGGTATCTTGCTAGACCTTGATCCACTACATGTAAGTTGAGATTCTAGTCATCAGATACAGTTCTGAGTCAGAGATCAAAACGTATTTTACAATGGGTACAAATTCCACACTAGAAAGTTTCCAACTGTATCGAGTATGAAAGAAAAATGCTACAGTAAAATGGGGTATTTCTGAGTTAAACTGGCTGCAGATTTATATTTGACCTCCTTTCTAAATATATCCAGTAGAAATGTCTAGGAACACCCAGCTTAGCTATTACTAGCGGGAAAGAAAGCTGTCCTCTTCATAAAGCTCTGGACTTAATACCTTGCGTCTGTGCCTTTTTTTCCCCATAATTAAGAAGTTCCCTTCTGCTGAGAAGCTGAATAAGAGTTTAGAGATTAATGCTCTTGTGAAATCCTAGGAAAGGCTGTTTAGGATAGGGGGAATATCTCTTAACCTAGATATTTTAACAACTGGTGCAAAGTTTCACTTTTGCAGAGTACACACAACTCAACAATACTGTATGTTACTACACGCCCATTCTGGTGAGAATCACAATCAGTTTATGGTCAGTGTGAGTGAGGTTATGTCAAATTAAATATTTGTAAAGAAAATATGCACAAGACAATACGTGATATCTTTGAATTATAACCTACTCTGAATGTCTTCACATTCTTTACTATCCTTATGACTCCATAAACCCAATACCTCTCAAACAACACTGGATACTGAAATAAAAAGACAGAATCTATTAACTTTAATTGAGTTACTAGCCAGAAAGGCTGCCAAAAATCATACATCAGAGAGCAAAAGGCAAAAATAACAAAAAGGGTCAGACACTAGAAGCTGGGTCTAATCTGCATGCGCAGCTCAAAATTCCACATTCTTCACATGCTCGATGGAGACAGTCTGTATTTGTTCATTTTATCTTACATCTCTGCCAAATGGTTCAATGCCTGTACAGACGCTGAGAATTATCTTTGCCTTTGTACGTGTCCCCTTCTCCCTCCGCTCCGGAACAAGGGAATCATTACTTAGTCCACAGAAACTGAAGCTGTGGACAGAGGTTTGCTGCCCTTTAAGTGTACCATAAAATAATACAAAGTTAGGACCTGAAAGGAGATTTAAACACTGAGCTTTTTCTTAATGTGTCAAAATCTCTACTTGAAAAGAACTGTTTTATTTTCCCCTGTGACTGCAGCAAAAGATTCTGTATGAGGTACTCTGCTCATTACAGGGCAAAATTGAGCAGTCTGTAAAAAACACACTCACTCTAGACAGGCTGTAGTTGAGGATCCCACACATAACTTCTCTCTATGCCGTAACTGCACGGAACAATGGGTAGGGAGCTCCAGCTATGCAGCAAATATGAAATGACTTTGCAAATAATTAATGGAACATGCTCAAGTGTAATGGCAAAATAAACAACTTAAACTGTTTTGGAAAAGCTGTGGATGATTCTCAGGGAATTGCAGGAATTGCAGCGTAGTTTGAAGTGTGCGACTATTAAGTTGTGTTGTTCTATTAGTGCTTTAATCTGTTCATCACCACATTCCTGCTAAAGGCTTATTGCTCCCAGGTCCATCCCTGCATTTTCTGTAAGATACTCACCAGCCAATTTCAGTCTAAATTACTTGATTTATCAGAGGTTTACTTATTATTTAAATGGCTCAAATTTCACTGGACCACTTTTGGCAGAAATGGCTTAGGAGACAATCAATAAACAGCTCAGCCAGCATATAGGATGCAGCAGTGACCTCAAGCAGGGGTAGTGGCCTCCTTAGTTGACACTGCCACAGCTAGGATGAAGGTAATAGCCTAGATCCTCAGGGGAAGGCTGCAGTACATTAGCTGCATTTCTAAAAACCTACTTACTCAGAGCTCTTAGTACCTAGTGCTTCCCCATAAAGGGTGATGTAGTCATCTTAAAGGAATACTGATAGATTTAATACCAAGTTTAGTATTAACATTCTTGGTTTTTAAAAAGGAAAATAATATCCAACAACACTCTCAACCTGTGAGTTTCTGCAATCTGAAAATGTCATTACTTTAAAAAATATTTGTAATCCCTTTTAAAAAAATCTAACCAGGAGTCTAATCTGAACACCATGTTTGAGTTTAGAATAAAGTTTGATAGCTGCTGATTATACTCACAAAGCTGCCATAGGTAAGCACTACTGCAGAGTTCCACAATACTAGCCTGAGACCCATTTGGAACAACTTTCACCGTGGATTCTGCTACACTGCAGAAATTCAGCAAACAATTTCATTTTCTTTGCACACGATGCCAAAAGAAACAAAGTCATATATTTGAAGATAAACTCAGTTTTCAACTCAGAAGCTAAACGCCTACCTAAAGCAGGTACCAATGTGGACTGGCTCTGTCCAATCCTTGTTGTCATTTGGTTTGTCAGAACTACCTAAAAGAGGAAACAGAAGCACACAAGAAAATCTCCAGAAAATAAGCATACCGGTGGGAGGGAAGAGAGGCATTTTTCAAAAAGCTTTTTAACAATAAAGTAGTTACTCAAGTGACGATCCATGTTAGCAAGAAGAAACTGTAAAAAAGCTGCCTCATCTTCTCAATAGCCAAAACAAAATAATAGAACCCTGAAAAATGTATTTTCCATTTGCATGGAAGGTAGATTTCTTTCATTCAAGACTTTAAAGAAACCTATATTTCTCCCTCCCCAGGGGATGCAAACTATATTCCGCTGTATTTGTACTAAATACTGTTTGGGTCTGTATTCAGGTGCACATGGCTTGCACCAGCCCTCTGTGAAGAGACAGCTTTCAGTCATTGGCATTAATGAATTTGGTGCTGCTGCTCAAAACATGCATAAGCCTAGTGATTAACAGAATTTCTGTGCCTTGTCTTCTAAAAATGCGCAAGTGGGTACAATACAAAGCAGAATGAAAAGTGAACAGACAGAGCGGGGGAGTGTTTTCGCAGCACAAATCACTTGTAGGAGGTTCACAGACAGTCTAGGTTAGATCCCTGGTAGAAGTGGGGGTGGGTGAGACAGAAAAGAGCCAGGAATATTAACTGCAAAGTTCATTAAAAATGAAAAATAAAAAATTGTACCTATCTCAAACCCATGGGGTTTTCATTGTTTGACATGCTTGTACAATTCTTGATTGAACAGTTACAGTGTGCTAGAGCAAGCAACTCCACTGAGCACAGAGGGCACACACCTAAACATTTACATAGCTGACATCCTCAAGGCATGTACTGTGTATTTTAGAAAAGCAACTCATCATATATGGATGGTTACAACCCCGAACAGGCTCCCTGTTTCACTGGAGCTGGAGAAGGCCTGCTCTGCACTTCATAGCACAGCCCACTGAGTTCAGCTTTAGAAACTAAACAAACTTCCTACCATATTAGATCATTCAGTCTGCCCAGCTTTGCTGCCCAAGGAGCAATCTCTGGCACGCAGCTGAATTTAGACTGCTTGCAAGCTACATGGAACTAACTCAAAAACTAACAGGAGGGCCACTCGGAACTAAATCATTGCTGAAGCTCTGTGTTTATTGCTTCTGTAGCAAGTGTTTATTCAGCAAGTGCTTGTATTAAACTGCTCACTTGTTCAATAGAAAGAAGTGACATATGTGCCCCTTGACCAAAGAAAAACAGACTGTACAATGACAACTGCTCTTGTTCAAGGTCACCAGGTACCAAATTTATGAGTGAAAGCACTCGGTAAACTGGAGGCTGTACAAAATCAAGCAGTCATAAAACATTCACTTCCCTTGGTACTCAGACCAGCAAGAAGCTTCATATTTCATTTCAGGATGACAGAGAGGGTATGCTTTCAGCAGCAAGCCCAATCGCTTCACCAGGGTGGACTCCAGAGCTGTATTCCTTCCCTTCCTGCAACTATCAGAGGAAGCACAAGGGGAGGCTTATTTTTAGCAGTGAGGAACAAAACCCATTTGCGCCAGAATTGTGGGTGACAAGGCTGCAAGTCACCTGGAAAGAATTGCAGGCACAAGTACCATTTTGAGACGGTTTAAGCTCCAATTCCTGAACAATGCTTCTCTGTACTGTAAGGGACTTGCCAAAACAACTTCTGGAACAGATGTAGCTTCTGAGTGCCATCTGCTGGCTACGGGGCTGCAGATTTGCTGGCCTCCATCTTGGCGTAAATGACGTAGAAACAATGCCCAGGAAGGAAGCTGTGAGTTTCCATGGATGCCAGAAAAGCAAACCAAACCAGCAGATAAAGTGCTTTTCCTCCCTAAGAACAGTTCCTCCACTAAGATTGCAGTTTATTTTTAAACAAAGAGTGGACAGTATTTGGAACTGCCAAATACTCTGATGTATTTTTTTGTGTGTGCTCTGTAGGTAAAAAGTCACCAAAGTCATTCCTTGTCCAACCAAATCATTAAAAAGATTACGTGAAACAGCATGACAGATTGATATGCTACCATTTAATTAAGATCCACAGGATGCTTTTAATGCAGATTTTACTTATTCTGGCAAGTCTAGGAATTTTCCACCCAAATAGTTTTGCCTGTGCACCCCCCCCCATATTTACTAGCCAAACTGGAAAACACGGATGTAGAGGGCATTCTTGCAGTTTTATTTTGCTATTTCCAGCAAATCACATTTGCTTCATTCTTTGAAATGCATTTATTCTAAAGTAGCATCTTTTCTGATCTAACCTGCCCCAGACTTACCGCTGACTTATGATCATTTGCTATGATGATCAGCTGCTGCGCCAGACCATTCAAGAGCCTTGTCCGAAGTGAGAGGTCTTCAAACTCATGGCGAAAAGGAAATGCAATTCCATCAACTACCACCAGTCGGACCTAAATGTGGAAGAAAAGAACTACCATTATTATCCTACAAGCAAATGACAAAAAGCAGCAAGACATCTTTTTAAGTGCACTGGAATGTTTTGTATAAGGTGATGACAATCTTATTTCATACTCAGATGTGTGTAACAGCATAACACCTATTGTCTCTAGATACATATTGGGAACAATCAGCACTCCGTAAGAGTGCAGGGTAAAGAGCTCCAAGCTTTGAACACACTAAGACACTTGCTAAGTGCAGTACTGCTTTATTCAGAGATACTAGCTCGGACCATAGCTGCAGTAGCTTAAACAAAATGCTGCACTAATATCTCCCATTAGTTAACACAGCACAGAGCTCTTTCCAGTTCCAGAGCTCGCTCACTTAGAGCTAACGTCTCTGGAGCACCCCACACAGAATACAAAATAATAAACCTGGACCTAAAGCCTTGCAGAAGAGGAGCTGGAGAAAACTAAATTGTTAAACATCAGGGTTGTACTGTGATCAGCTCTCCATGAACACTAATTTATTTCACCTTTTCCCTCAAAAAATAAATCCTAACAAGATTAGAACACATGCTGTCTGTAGTCACTGTTAAGATGGATCATTGATACAAAAACAGATGAGTTATCTTAGAAACATGGAGTTGAACTGATGCATGAAGACATTCCAGACACTGTGCAATGGAGCTGAGTATCTATCTTGCCTGAAGATGTTTGCTTTGCTGAATTGTTTCTTTTGTAGCAATCATTAGCTGAAGCTTGAACACAATGCTGCTGCTGGCCCATCACCCTCAAGACACTATACAAACATTAGTCAGGGACTTGGATTTATTCTAACTTCATTTACTGTGGCTGTTCTGATGACCCAAGTTTGTCTGAAATACAGAAGGGAAATGGATGGTTTTACAGCACCTGCATGTTCAGATGCCACTCAAAACCTAGGTATCTACAAGTCCTTGCATTAATGCACAAGATAATAAATTGGAAACAACACAAGAAAATGGGTTGTCTCTATTACAGATTTAACTCATTACTGGGAAGTTGCTTTGTGACTGGAACATGCAAGCCTGCAGCAAACATCACTCTGTGAAATGGCCCTGAACCTCCAAATGAAAAAAAATATTACTTGTGCTAGAACGGAACATATACATACATATAACTTGCCTATCAGATTAATACACCCAGGTAGGATGCAGTTTAGTTTATTTTCTTGCAGTGGTACTTCCTATAAAATAGCAAACAAGTAGACTTAAAGTATTCTAACATAGGCTGTATAGAGAAAGCTTGGTAACAAATGCCTTCGCCATGCCAGTGCGTGTCTTCTAGACCTTAAAGAACTAGATTTATTATGACAAGAATATTTCCTAACATAGCCTTTTTCATATGATTGGCCTCTCTCATATTCTTAACAAGATCTCAAACTAATTTCTATTTCCAAATGACACTACAACTAGGTCTCTCTAAAAAATACCTAAACTCTGTAGGTTTCTGTGGTCCCAGTCTCAGCTCCAGGTCTGCACACTGGGATCAGACTAATTTTAATGAGAGCTGGACTGCAATGAGCAATCTGTCAAGTCACTTATAGCCTATCCAAGGAATCATCAGAAGGTCTTACGATTCTCCTGCAACCTTCAGTAGTGTTTCAGGCTCCAGGCCAGGCACAGATAATCAGCACAGATGGTAGCAGAGAACTGCAGCCCAATGCAACTGTGCTAATGAAGCCATGTACTTTCCACAAGAGCAAACATAACAGGGCACCGTTAGTACCTGGCAGAGAAAGGGAAATAGCAGACTACACTAAGCAAAAGAAAGACTCCCATCTGTGCTTTCAAGAACATAACAGCTTCCAAAAACTGAAATTACATACAGAAGACAATCTAACTAAACAACACTGATTTGTGCTCCATTAGAATGGGGTACACTTCATCTTTCCCAAATCCTGTTAAGTGATCTGCTGTGTAGAACCTAGAAATCTGAAAGTGAGGTGCTGAAAATCTGCCCTACAATAGCATTTCACTAAAACACTAGGAACTAGGAAACCTTTTGGCTGTAGCCCACCCAAGAGTCCAGCTGCAGGCTCTGGCTGCTTGTAGCAACAAAAGTGTGGGAAAGAAGAGTCACTTTGTGTATGTCAGGATGGTACAGAATGCCTCTGGTCCTCAGTAATCACCCAGGAAAAAAGTGAGTGGCACTAAGCCTTTCTGATCCCCCTGCATCATGGTCATCACACATACACCTGGCTCAGAGACTCTTCTGTAAAGCAGTTTTATGATTCAGAACTCAGTGCTCATAGAAACACAACATGTGGCAACATAGGTCCAGTATCCTCACTTCAAAGTGGAGATTCAGAATGATGGCAGCAGTGGTAGCAAAAGCAAATTGCTTTCAAGAGTAATTGGGATGGGAATGACAAAGCAAACAAGCAGCCAAGCTTACACTTGTACTCCACCATCAGCCAGTACGTTACTGCCAAGCTGACAAGGTACCAAGGCGTTACTCATGTTACTCTAACAGCTGAGCAACCTTGAAAATCCTTAGTGTGAAGACGAGTGGTATCTTCCCCTAAACCTGCAATAATCCTTACCTTTGAGTGCTCCGAAAGAAAGTCTGGGAGGAGGTAGACCTGTGCAAGAAGCTCTATGTAGTCATGGCAACGGAAGTAATATATGTGAGAAAGGATACTTTCAACAGAGAAAGTCTCCAAAGCTTTTAGATGATCTGAGAACAGATAAACAGATGAGTAAATGAGTCAGAAGTCTGTAATAGCATATTGCTACTTTCATCATTCTACCAAATGATGCCCTCCACATATAGCAACAGCAGAACCCCCGGAAACAGAAACAGTCAAGGTACAGAGTGTGGGAAACATACCTTCCATCTGGCTTGAAAGTCAAGAAGGTGATGAGCAGATGCTATCTCAGCATTCGCACACAGATATACCGGAGCCTCCAAGCGAGTGCTCCAAAAATGAAAAATCTACTTCTGAAAATAGACCTTTTCCAGTAAATCATTTCCAAGCCAGATCACCACCAGAGAACAACACTGACTATTAATCATCTGTTGTTTTGTGTACAGGTAGTAGCTCATTTAATACAGCGTCCATTCACTTCAGTTCAAACAGAAGTTTGCTGCATTAAATACTCTTAAGAGCAACATAAAAGTTGTGTTAGTATCCCCAACACACTGATGAGTTCTAGAATTCTAGAACTACTCTTCACTGAATGCATCTTGGCTATACTGACCTCATGGAGGATGTGAGCTCCAGCTACAGTTTTACAGTATGTGGATTCAGCAGCAACACTGCCTCTATTGTTCCTCTTCCCTTTCCCCAGCTGCTCTTCCTGTCCCATATTATCCCTCAGTTCTGCTGACAGAATTGTGTTTTGCTGTGAATTCATTCATTAAAGTGCTAAAAAAAAAAAAAAAAAGAGGGGCAAAACCCCTTCCAAACCATCATGTAGAAAAAGAATTATTCTTAAAATGGATCAGCTCAGTCTGCAGCATGGGCTCCACATACTGATGCAGTTCAGGGTATGCTGCTTTATTTCAGGTAGAAATAAAAGACTGGCAGCAAGAACTTCTGGGGCCAGCACTGCTTCTGAAATGGTAGAACTGCAGCCCAGGAGACACTCATCTCACTCTGATCCCAGTCTATGAGGCAGAAAGAAATGACTTAGCAACGTACCTTCTTCTTGATGAGCTTCAGCAATAAGGTGGCAATGCTGCACACAGGCAGCTGCAATATCCACTACTCTGTCTACTATAAAACTTCCTTCGGTATCAATGAACACGGCTTCTCCAGCTACACCTCCAAAGCATTCTGGGATCTGTACATCTACTGCCAACTGCATACTGCCAGGGAAAACAGAAAAACCAGATAAATATCCATGTCACAAAGCTCTCCCCTCCCAACTCCTAAAGTGACATTTCTGCTGAGGAATACATGGAGCAGGAAGCACTGCAGCCATTATCATGATTTTATTTATAATGCTGTAGAAGAATCAGAGTTTGACAACAAGAAAGATAATTAGTCCTCCTAATTAAAGAAACCCAAAAGTAATTGAAAAATGAAATACCATAGCTGTGTTTTCCCAACACCAGGCGCTCCACAGACCTCGGTGATTTTGGTTAGCTGCACACCACCTCCTAGAATATTGTCTAGTGCTGAACAAAAGGTGATGATGAAGCCCTGGGCTTGCTCTTCTTCCAGAAGTTCCAGGGCTGTGCACTTTCGGGAGGCACCTGATCTTGCAGCGGTCCTTGCTGCATCCCCATGACATTCCTGCCTCACAACCTGTAACACTTCCAGGGCCTCCTCATTGGAGATTCCAATTTCTAGAAAAGCCAAAAGCATGAAACGCTACCTTATTTTTACATATAGTGATTTATTGAAAGTACAAAGCGATAATTCAACTTGTTTGACAGAAACTGAACGTTCTGCAGTATAACACAAAATATTAATCCTTTTAGTACAACAATGCACACAGCTTGCTAACATCTCTGGAACTAATTACATGATTTTCAAAACAGCTCAGCAATGATGCCCTGTGTTCAGAATTCAGGGGCCAGTAAGCTGTCTGCAAATAGAAAAAATCATCAAAACTGCTGTTCACAGACATGAATGAGATCTGACAGAGCAATTCACCTATTCTGCATGGAATGTCCCATCATATTCATTTAATTTCAAGCAAATAAGGTCCTGGAAAAGAAGTCAGGCTGCAAACTGGTAAGTGACAAGGACAGCTACTGATCGTGCTCTGAATTCTTGGGGTATTCCAGCGCTGAATACCTAATGCATCACTTGTAGATTTGAAACACATACCCAGTAACAAAGATGAGACACCTGCAAACACCTGTGTGTCTGCCTTTATGCATATATATGTCAGACTCTAGCTACTTTACTTTGATCTTCAAGGCAAAACTATTACATCTTATTATGGATAATAAAACTATCGTTAAATGTCTGTTAGAAGGAATGAGAATCCTTTGTTTTTTCCCTTTTCTGCATTCCATTTACACCCATCACTCAGTGCAAGAAGAATCTTTTATCAGAATCATTATTTTTTGTCTGTCAGTCCCAACCCCTGCCACGGGCAGGGACACCTTCCACTAGAGCAGCTTGCTCCAAGCCCTGTCCAGCCTGGCCTTGAACACTGCCAGGGATGGGGAACACTCCGCTAAGGTTAAACCTGCCGACACCCCACCCGCGCCAGTCAGCTACAGCGGAAAAGGAAGGGCTGCGGGAGACCTCGCAGAGGAAGGACGGGAAGCGGCGGGGAAGCCGGCCCCGCCCGCCGGTACCTTTGCTCAGCCCGCAGGGGCCGGTCTCCAGCAGCTCCTGCACCGTCTGGAAGCCGGCGCTCACGAGCCGAGCGCGCACCGCAGGCGCCAGCGGAAGACTCCCCACATCGCGCTGCATGGCGCGACCCCGCTAGGCCACCACAGGCCCCGCCCACAGTCCCGAAGGGCCCCGCCCACCACCGGCGGCGGGAAGGGAGGTGGAGGCGGCGGCGGCGGTGGCTGCTGCGCATGTGCGGTGCGTGAGGCTGTGAGCGGGTGCCGCGGCCGTTGGGGAGGTACCGGTGAGGTAATGAGGCGGGTGGGGCTGGGCCGTTAGAAGGGGCTGAAGCAGCTAAAAGGCTGCGGGGTGTGACCCGACCAGGGAACCGTGCTGGTTTGTTCTGCCAGAGGGTGACGCACCTGACAGGCTTCAGTGGTGTTTGCCAGACCCTGGTTGTCACCTCTCTTGGCCGTGTTTCCCCACGGCCAGGCTGGTGCCACAAGCAGCCCTTCATCAGCATCACGGACAGGCCTTACCTCAGAGGGTAAGGGAGGGAAAGGGAGGTGCTTTTGCTTTTCATCTTGGGAGTTGTCTGGAGGAAACAGTGGGAACTGACTTTGTCAGCTTCTAGAATCATAGAATCAACCGGGTTGGAAAAGACCTTGCAGATCAGGAAGTCCACCCCTTACCCCAGGACTGCAAAGTCCACCACTAAAACATGTCAATAAGGGCCTCGTCTATATGGCTTCCAGGGAATATGGAACAGGGAACGTGCACTTCCAGAATGGTAATTCCACTACTGCCCTAGCAATCCTGTTCCAATGTCTGACCACTCTCTGAGTGAAGACCTGAAGGGTTTGGGAAAAAAAACCCAAATATATATATATATTTGAGCTATGGCACTTTGCAGCTTCCTTAATTTTCATCCTTTTTCCTAGTTGTGTTGAGGAAAGAAGATGGCTCACACTGTCCGTCTGTCCATGCCCTGCCCTACCCAGCTTGGCAGCATCATAGGTAACTCCCTGGAAGCTCAGCTGCACGAGTGTGTCAGGCAAGGAAACTCTCTGAGAGTAAAGAAGCTGCTGAAACAAGGTAAAAGTGAAGTTTATAGACAGGCACTGGCAGAACAGTTTTACTTTGTGCTGTATTATGAGATTTGGGGTGAAAAATAGCATGCTGTACAGTCCAGTTTTCTGGATGGAATTTATTTAAATGATACACAGTTGGCCTTTTGGGGAAATTGGCACTAATTGCTGAATTTAAAATGTAAACATGTTTTAATATATTTAAATACAGATTTAAAACATGTATTTTTTACAACACATAAGTAAGTATGAAAATAACTTGGGAAAAAAATTAAGCTCCTAGTTGTAAGGTGCTCGTGAAGAAATTGGGCCCATATTATAAAGCTAGAACTCGTAAGCGTCAACTTTAGGAATAGTCTCTTTAAATAGGATTTTAATTTTAATTCTGATAGGAAAATGCGTCAGGTGTGGTTTAGACGTTGGGATTTTTGACATATGGATTTTTAACTACATGGGAGCAGGGCCTTGTGTAACCGCTGCAGTTCTGTCCGGGTTTCACTCCCCCGCGGCCGCACCGGCCGATACTGCGGGAAAACGAACTGCGAGCGGTACCCCTCCCGCAGAATCCGTTACGAGCGGTACCCCTCCCGCAAAATCCGTTACACGCGGTTCCCTCCGCGGCGCGCGGCTGCGCACATGAAGGCCGCGCCTGCGTGCCTGATAGCGCGCGTCTGATTGGTCGTCTCAGGTAGACGATGCAAATGAAGAAGCAGGGCCCGATTCCCGCCACGCGCGGCAGTGCCGGGGGGCTCGGGGGACTCGATTCCGCGGGGGCAGGGCTACGCGGGTCGGTGCCGGTTCCCGTTTCCGCGCGTGGTGGGTCGGTGTCGGGTGTCCATGTCGTAGAGGGCGGTGCGCGGCGGTGGGGCTGTGCGCGCGGCGGTGGTGTAGTTAAGACTATACTTTCAGGGATCATTTCTGTAGTTGGTCACTAGAGGAGAGTGATCGCACCTGAACGGCGTCACAAACCACGAGGAGGAGCGAGGTGCTGTCTCCTGAGCGTGAGGCGGGCGGGCGGCGCTGCTTGTGCAGGAGCCTCCCGGTATCGATGACCGTTCCCGTCCTTTTTGGTGTCGGGAGGGAGACAGCACGGGCTGAGTGGTTTGTGATCTACTTTTTAACAGAGTTCCTAAAAGCAGATGGGCAGGGAATGGCAGTGGGAATTACTGCGCAATGGGATTAGTGCACTCCTATGAGAGTACTCTTCCTGTTGCTGCAGCAAAGTCAGCTGCCTGAAGTTTTGGGGTGCTGCGAAGATGGATTAGTGCTGTCGAGAGGGGCGCTGGGCCAGGGTGACTCTTCTCCCTTCCCGTCACTTGGCTGTTCCTGAAGACTGGGTGGTTTTGAACCGCAGATGTCGTTCCTTGGCATGAGAGGGATTGTGCACGCTCTTGCACAGTCTTTCGCAAAGGAACAGCGCGCGGCAGAGGGGCGCGGGGGCCGCCCCAGCCCCGCTAGGAGGTGTGTGCTTGCCGTTGACGTTGCATCACTCGTACCGCCGCGGCGCGGACCTCGCCCCGCGGAACGGCTCACCGAGAACGGCTCGTGCGGTTCCTTCCAGGGGAACCTCGTGCAGCGATGAAAGCTCTGTCCGAACCCGCTGAAGGGCGCCACCGAGCCTTGGGGCGGAGTCCTGGGCCCACCGGAAGAGGGGTGTGACTGAGAGCGCGCGTCTGATTGGTCGTCTCAGGCAGACGATGCAAATGAAAAACCGGGGCCCTATTCCCGCCACGCGCGGCAGTCCCGGGGGGTCCCGAGGCAGTCCCCGGGGGGCTCGCGAGACTCGGTACCGCGGAGGCAGGGCTACGCGGGTCAGTGCCGGTTCCCGTTCCCGCGGGTGGTGGGGGTCGGTGCCGGGTGTCCATGTGCTAGAGGGCGGTGCGCGGCGGTGGGGCTGTGCGCGCGGGGGTGGTGTAGTTAAGACTATACTTTCAGGGATCATTTCTGTAGTTGGTCACTAGAGGAGAGTGATCGCACCTGAACGGCGTCACAAACCACGAGGAGGAGCGAGGTGCTGTCTCCTGAGCGTGAGGCGGGCGGGCGGCGCTGCTTGTGCAGGAGCCTCCCGCCATCGATGACCGTTCTCGTCCCTTTTGGCGTCGGGAGGGAGACAGCACGGGCTGAGTGGTTTGTGATCTACTTTTTATCAGAGTTCCTAAAAGCAGATGGGCAGGGAATGACAGTGGGAATTTCTGCGCAATGGGATTAGTGCACTCCTATGAGAGTACTCTTCCTGCTGCTGCAGTAAAGTCAGCTGCCTGAAATTTTGGGGTGCTGCGAAAATGGATTAGTGCTGTCGAGAGGGGCGCTGGGCCAGGGTGACTCTTCTCCCTTCCCGTCACTTGGCTGTTCCTGAAGGCTGGGTGGTTTTGAACCGCAGATGTCGTTCCTTGGCATGAGAGGGATTGTGCACGCTCTTGCACAGTCTTTCGCAAAGGAACAGCGCGCGGCAGAGGGGCGCGGGGGCCGCCCCAGCCCCGCTCGGAGGTGTGTGCTTGCCGTTGACGTTGCATCACTCGTACCGCCGCGGCGCGGACCTCGCCCCGCGGAACGGCTCACCGAGAACGGCTCGTGCGGTTCCTTCCAGGGGAACCCCGTGCAGCGATGAAAGCTCTGTCCGAACCCGCTGAAGGGCGCCACCGAGCCTTGGGGCGGAGTCCTGGGCCCACCGGAAGAGGGGTGTGACTGAGAGCGCGCGTCTGATTGGTCGTCTCAGGCAGACGATGCAAATGAAAAACCGGGGCCCTATTCCCGCCACGCGCGGCAGTCCCGGGGGGTCCCGAGGCAGTCCCGGGGGGCTCGCGAGACTCGGTACCGCGGAGGCAGGGCTACGCGGGTCAGTGCCGGTTCCCGTTCCCGCGGGTGGTGGGGTCGGTGCCGGGTGTCCATGTGCTAGAGGGCGGTGCGCGGCGGTGGGGCTGTGCGCGCGGGGGTGGTGTAGTTAAGACTATACTTTCAGGGATCATTTCTGTAGTTGGTCACTAGAGGAGAGTGATCGCACCTGAACGGCGTCACAAACCACGAGGAGGAGCGAGGTGCTGTCTCCTGAGCGTGAGGCGGGCGGGCGGCGCTGCTTGTGCAGGAGCCTCCCGTCATCGATGACCGTTCCCGTCCCTTTTGGTGTCGGGAGGGAGACAGCACGGGCTGAGTGGTTTGTGGCCCTTTTTTTAACTCCAGTTCTAAAAGCAGATTATGAGCAAGCGGAGCCCTTTCCTTCCCTCGCAGTTTCATGTGATCCAACACATTCCCCGAAGTTCTCAGCTGCCTTCTACGTCCCCAGCCCCTCCTTGGGTAATTCTATAGCGGTGGCATTGGGGACCTTCCTAAGGCAGTGCTGAGGAGGGAGCAAGTGGGCAGACGGATTTAGGCTTTAAATCTGGTGTGATTGTTCAGTGAAAAGAAACACTTTGAAAGTTTGTTAGCACCTGTGTGTGCGAGTCAGGCGATGGTGTTCTTGAGCCACCTATGGTGTAGGGCAGGGGTGAGTGGGTGGTTAATGTTGAGTGTTTGTCAGATAGTGACGAGAGGCTGCGGGCGAATTGTTTGGGATTCGCCTTTCCTGGGAGCTTCTGTCACTCAGGCCGGATCTGGAGTATTTGATCACTCTGATGGGGGTTTGGGAGTGATTTGATTGATTTTGTGCCCTTTATACAATGCAGTGCCATGGAAGGTGCGGCACGTCAGGTTAGACCCAGGGGCACAGAGTGTCTGCTGGGGTCTAGGGTTGAGAACTACTCGGTGATACACTATTAGCTCCTGTGTGGGAGTCCTTGTGCTCGGGTCGATCTGGGGGATGTTAAAGGTCGTGTTTAAGGCTATGTTCTGTGGAGTTGTAGCTGGTACATGAGAACATGCCTGAAGGTGCTGGGCCACGGTAGATGCCGGAAGCCAGCGCAATCCTTTCAGAGCGCCATGCGAGAGGCGTGCAGTGCTGCCTGGTCTTAGCGCCTGGGCCTCTGCTCCTACAGCGGTACTGGGCAGTGCAGCACGGACAGAAGCGGTGTCCTCTCGTGGATGGTGTAATGAAAACGGCAGCAGCTCGGGCGGGTATAGCCCCAGCGCGGAGCCCGGTCTCTGCGGAG